AGAATGAATAGTGGATTGTTACTGCACGGGTTTAGTAATGCTCAACGACTGGAAAGGACGTGAATAGTGTTAAATTGTGCGGAATGAAGCCGAAATGAATTGCTGAGGGACAAAGGATTACCCCGAGCACTGGAGTTCAGTACCGCTGCGCAGAGGGTCTTCCTCTGTTGTACAAGCACTTTTACAGGCCGTTAACGAGTACGGTCCCTCGGCTCTAGAACCAAACACAACCTTTACTCGTGGCCAACGAACGTAGATCGGATTGCAGACATGCGCTGAAATGATATCACCACCATGCCATGGTTGTTCTTGCAGAAAGAATTTTTTGGTACATTCACATTCGTGCATTTAAGCTTATTCAAAGATTCTTCGAAGAGTCGTAATTCCAATTTCAATCAAATATAGTTCAGCCATTTCATGGAAAAGTGCACTGCTAATGAAGTATTCAGTTGATGAAACATTTGAAACTAACCCTGTGTTGATGCAAACAGACTGATGACAGTTAGAAGGAGTATTCGGCGCATTACAGTTGCTGAAAGCAATATCGTTATTGTTATGTGACGTTTTGGAATTTATGCAATATTCGGATTAAGACGATTGCAGTGATGACCTTAAAACAATCGCCATGACTAACTTATCGTTAACATATTGAGCACCCAAAAAACGTGAATGTGTTCGAATATTCCGTTTCATCTCAATTTCATGAGACATTTACGGATGGAATTCCACTCATTCCTCAAAATTTGATGACACAATGTCATGAATCTTATCGTTCACTTATGTGAGTTTCCATAACCAGATGTTAAATTGCACGAAGTAAATTCTTGATAATATTCTCAGTGACAAATGAAATGCACGCATATTAACCACGCTGCTTGGAATGTAATATGTTTCATTGTAAGTCAGAGTATTGCTGTAACACTATCGTTAAATTAAGCCTTAATTAGAATATCTCAGCAATCAGTCACCATCACACCAGTCTGCTCAGATAAATATCTTCCTAAACACTGCTCAGATAAATATCTTCCTAAACAGTGAACATCTGAAAAAATAACATGCGAACATTACTGAATACAACTTCGCACACTCAAAATCGATTCGGATATCAGAAATTCCTTCCGAGTCAGCGGTTGAATAGTGGTGAGTGATGTTATATGCGGGTAATGCAAACAGAGATTGTCAAATGAGTCAATGAAATGCAATCAAATGAGGTCAGCTAAATATGAAAATGTCATCATAGCCACACCATGAGGTAGGTAAACATCACTTACTGATGACCGCTGAACCACCGCAGCGACTAAAAAGACCTAGATGATTATTGAAGTAACGACACGATATTATTATTATTATTATTGTTATTAATATTGCTATAACTGGTATTACTGACACCGCGCACCGCAGCAGATACAGAGGTCAATGAATCAATCGTTCATGTTCTCGTTGTTCAGCTGTTATGAGGAAATATCACCTTTTTTGGAGTTTGAACGATGAAAAGCATTTCAATTAATTAGTTATTTGTCAATTAGAATTGCTGGTTAAATGGCTAAAGGATTATTGAGGGAGTGAGAGTGGAACGCATTCAATTTTATAACAATTCGAAGAGCTGCGCATGATTAGAAATCTAAGAAGACGTTCTTGAACTGATGATGGCCGGAGTTGGCTGAACTCAAGGATGAATCAAATAATCAAAAAGTTAAACGCATTCGAATGAATAGATTGGAATTTCGAGTGTAACCCAAGAGGGGTTATAACCTAAGAGGGGGCGTTTTGGGTAGACTTGATAACCTAAATTGCTCTGATTGTAGTTTTCAATAAATGATATTATTTGGTGAAAAGATGAATCGGTTACGATTTTTCAACGATATAAATCGAGTTTTCTAGCGTATAACTGAACGGAAGTATGAGAAAATAGAGGGAAAAAATGATTGAAAAGAACGGTAAATGGGTCGAGTTCATAATTTGGATGGTTGCGAGTGATTCATGCTGAGTAGTGGATGAAATGAATCAATGACACCTGCTCGTTTAGATGAAATTACACAATCTCTGCACGATACGGCTGTTTGAGAAGCAATTCGAATGAAGGCAAATATAAGTGCTCGAATAACTTGTGAATATGAGTTCAACATTGTNTGTCGATTAGTCATTGATCTGGTGACTTAAAAGTTAGTTCATTTGATCAACATCGTTGAGGTGCGTATAAGTGAGTCGAAAAATCACTGAACAGTCGTTGTGCTTTACTATTTGCAAAATATGCTGCCAAATCTAAACATTTTAAGCAATAAATTACGCAGTAACAATGAACGCTAGCTTTAGCTATTGGATTTGTGGATTAGGGAACGAGCAAACAGGTTGTAGCGCAGGGCAAGAGGTTAGTATGAAATCGTAATGGTAATAATGTGAATTGCAAGCGAATAATCCATTTCGCAGCCAAACAAGGATAACGTAAATCGCATCTATACTATGCACAAAATACGCGCTATTCGTCTGAAGCTTTTGAGGTCAGCACAGAATTCATATTGTTTCGTCATAGAAACTGAAAAAAAAACATTTGAAACTGGAAATTTTATCCAGTTATGGGACAGTACACATCCTTCGTTGCCTTCAGATGTTTCAATTATGCTAGTATCTCTTTTCTACCGATTTTGCTTCAATATGCTACTGTCGATATGTTAATAGAAATCAATTCACATTGGCAATTATTCGATACAGTTCAATCGAATTTCAGTTATTGTGGAAAAATTGATAGCAGTCATCATTATTCGTTGAATCATAATCCATCCAAACTGGGAACATCTGCATGACTAGCATTTTTGGTATTATTTCAGGCGACTTCATATAAACAAACGC